GTCATTAACCATTTTATACTCTTCAAAGTTTAGAATTGTACCAAGCATTTTCTGTTAAATACTCACCAGATTTTGTGTTTGTTATTACGTCCGCGCGTGAAGTATAAGTAAAAGGACAATGTATCAAGTAGTTAGTCTGTCCAAGTGATAGTCTATGTAGCAGTCCGAGTTGAAATCATTAAGAAATCTTCCCGTGTCTTGTCTATTCCCAGTCATACTAAAACTCTCTTCATAAGAAAAAAAAAAAGAAAAAAAAAAAACAACTTTTGTAAATCCTCTCAACAATTTCTGGAATATAAAAAGTTGGTACTTATATGCTTTCTTCTTTTACGTTCCTTATTCTTTGTGGACGAGTTGAAGATTTTTGAACGCCAAATTGTCTCCCACTCAATCTACCATAGCTGAAATTATATTAAAAACACTTGTTATAAAGCTTAGAATAAAAACTTGAATTCATATTATGCAAATAGTTACAGAAAAAGTATGGACATTAGTTTTATTTTACACGCAAATATATGACATTTTTGCAGAAGAAAAACATATTCATCAAAGAGAGAGAGAGAGAGAGAGGGGGGAGAAAGAGAGAGTTTATATATATATATATATATATATATATATATATATATATATATATATATATACGAGGAATGCGTCCAGGGACACCAATCTAAAACTGTAACTCTGAGTTTTACGCTAATCGTGATCTTAAAACGATTAAAATCAAAAAACTTTTCTTCGTTCTTTTTGTACATATATATATATATATATATATATATATATATATATATATATATATATATATATACACAGTGTAACCTGGATATAAGAGAAACCCGGATATAAGAGAGATTTTCTCTGGTCCCAAATTAGAGCCTGTGTTAATGTATATAAAATAGACCAAACCCGGATAAAGAGAAACCCGGATATAAGAGACTTCTTCTCCGGTCCCGACAACTCTCTTATATCCGGGTTACACTGTGTATATATATATATATATATATATATATATATATATATATATATAATTTCTATATATTATATATGCGCGGTACTTATTGGAAAGTATTCAATATCAGTGATAAAGCTAACACTGGTTTCTCGCTTTTGCGATCATCAAACAAACTGATTTGTTTTTTCAAATTTGAATCTATTTATGTTACATTGTGTTTGATTATGTTTGGTGGTAATGGTGGGGGGAATATTCTACAATGCGATACATGTCTGCGCCTAGCTACGCATTGATTATATATGCGTGTGTTTGTGTGAACTATAATGTGTAAACTTGTATGTATGTATGACTGCGTGTGTATGAGTGTCACCCAAAAACGGACACAGAATAGAATATTTCCCTCACTACCACCACCACCGCCACCAAACATAATCAAACACAAACTAATATAAATAGATTCCAATTTTAAAAAATAAATCAGTTTGTCTGATGATCGCAAAAGCGTGAAAGCCAGGATTACAAATTCATATCCACACAATTGAATATATATCCATTAAATTCACTTACGTGCTGATACCCTTGGGAAAGGTAATAATCCACTTCTTCTCCCTCCATCTATGGGTAAATAGCAGGAAATACTGGGTTCTATAGCCTTGGATGGCAACTGATCTATGAGAAGGACATCTCGGAATTCAAAACCTGCGGATGGTCGTTTGGGGACCTTGTGGCACGTAGTGCACCAGGTCTCTGTATTCGGCACATCAAAAAGTGTGGATGGTCCTGCACGAAACCTTCACCACTATAATCAAATCACATGTGCCGAGGAACTGTGCTGTTTAACCCTCATACGTCGAATACAACGGAGAGTCCACCATATATATATATATATATATATATATATATATATATATATATATATATATATATATATATATAAAAAAATTGAATTTTATTGAAACAAATAATTTTACTGGATTAAGAAATACATGCTCTTTAACAAAAATCCCTGGAAAAACTGTTAAATACAATAATTACCCTTTTGATGAAACGCTGTAACACTTGTACAATATTTAGAGAAAAAAAAAGAATAAATCTGAAGAAAACTCTGTTAATTTGCAAGTCTTTTTTCTTTTTTTTTTTTTTTTTTTTTTTTTGCACTGCGTCAACATTTGCCGTTGTTCAAAGATCACAGTGACCGACTTTGGTAGCATTTGATCCAAAGAGGGGCGCTTGAACTGAATATAAACAAAATAACTGACTTAAAACGCAACGTAGATGCATATGTAAGTGACCGATATTCCCACGGACACACGTCCTCTTCGGTTGGAGTTTTTCAAGGACACTAAGAATGTGCTTCAAACCATGTTCTGTTATATGTAAGCTATTTTCCTCAAATCCCTCCCTCCCCGTCTGTCTCTGTCGATATATATATATATATATATATATATATATATATATATATATATATATATATATATATATATATATGGCAGTAAGAATTCATGTTTTGTTTATTAATATCGACAAATTCTGTCTATCCAATCATTTTTTGTTTTTTAGCTTTGTCAAAATTATGATTTGGTTGCTTTATATAACCAGTAAATTTACCAAAGTAAGTAGAAACATTTGAAAGTACTCGGGGGTGGGATGAAAAGTGAAAAGAGAATGTTATACTGGTCACTTTATAGATTTGCGGAGGACACGGATGATTTCTTTTCAGCGACCCTTCGATTTATCTCTTTTCTATCTAATATATATATATATATATATATATATATATGTATATGTGTGTGTGTGTGTGTGTGTGTGTGTGTGTGTGTGTGTGTGTGTGCAGGTCTCTGTATTCGGCCCTTCAAAAGTGTGGTTGGTTCTGCACAAAGCCTTCATCACTATAATTAAATCATATTTGCTGGGGCCTGGGCTGTCGGTTCCTAGGAACTGAGCTGCTTGGCCCTCATACGTCGAATACGAGAGTCCACTATATATATATATATATATATATATATATATATATATATATAAGTAACTCCCGAAGGAATATACTTAAAATGACCCACCGGGAAGAAATGCCGGTTTCTATTTTTTCTTGTACCATTGAGAACATTTTAACATACTTGTAAATATATTCAAGTTTTGGGGGGATTTTCTTTCTTCATATATCAATGTCACTTTTTGCCTATTCGATTCTCGTCCGTTTTGTCCTTTAACCCCTAGCTCAGTTTAGTCGTGTACATTCTATGTATTCATCAGCTACCCTTATAAGCTTGAGTTAGCCTAAGGGATATAAATGCCCGTATCGCTGAACGGACCAGTGACAACAGATTGAAGACTGCGTGCATAACGCGCAGGAAACAGTCAGTCGGACACCGGATTTTCATGATGTATACCGGTTGTAACAGCAAAATTGTCCAAATCTTGTAACAGCATTAGATTATTGTCAGTCCCGCAAAATGTTTCATATATAAAAAAAAAAAAAAAAAACCCTAAATTAATTGAGTTTCTTTTTCTAGCTTTTCCGATAAGACGTTTAACCATCTTGACGTCATTTTTCGTAAGAATCCCTAAAAAACCTTTGAGCTATTCAGCTAGAAAAAGAACAGCTTAAAATCGTTTTGTGTCAGCCGAATTCTGTCTTCCCCACTGAGCAATGGTGAGAGGAAAAAGATCATTCAGACCTTCAGTAATGGTACCAACATTCATACTCTGGCTTCCATCTTCAAAGTTCATTCAAGAACCATCAGAGAACGGTGAATAAGTTTAAAAAAAGAGTGAACATTAAAGGGGGGGAAATGAATTAGGCGGTCACAACATCAAGAGGGATCATCATTTCAACTTCAAATGCATTCTAATAGTTCAAAGTAGAGTCCAATAGTGCTATAAAAATATCGAATTCCAATAAGATATCTTTAATCAGTTCCAAGATACAACTGTTCAAAACTTAATCTAACAACTGGACAATTTTGCTGATACACCCAGTATATAGATATTGCCTAAGATTTGCTAATAAATTAGCATACAAGTTGAAAAAGATTTATCAACAAAATCCTTGTTATTTAAAAAAAAAAAAAAGACCAAAGGATTTTTTTATGTAAAAGTTATATTTTAATGCTTTGTAGAACCCCAGAAATTTTAATTAAAAATCTTGTTTGTTCTGGCGTCAAAGGAGGACTATAAATTAATAAGGAAAATTTGAGTGTCTTTATGTGGAGGAAAACATACTAATTTGGAAATTCTTGCAAAAATCAGATAATTGTTGGATTTTAATAAAACTTTCAGAACTTCTTCACAAATGAATTAATTTATTTTTGAATGCTACTTTTTCTGTAGAAAATCTTGATAAGATATTTTTTATATTTATTACTCCCCATTTATTTAATTTATGGAATTTCGAGAAATTCTTTTTTGTAGCGTTTATTGTTTATTTTAGTTATAAGGAAAAGTACTCCGAGAATTTAAATCATTGTTTTGTTTTTTGTTTTTGTTTTTTTTTTTTTTTTTGTTGTTTTTGTCAAACAGGACCCCCAGTTAGAGAAAATCTGCACTGAATCGTCAAATAAAAAAAATGCAATAAAACTAAGACATCATTTAATTAGAAAAGCTTTTAATTGCTTTATAAATAAAATGGACATTTTTCTTCAGAAAAGTTTTTCCTATGAATAATGTATTTTTACAAGAATTGTTTTCATTTTTTAAAAAAAGTACTTAGAATAATTCATAAACTTTTAAATCTTTAAAAATTCTGTATTAATTTATATCGGTCAACTGATATTGTTATTAAATAAAAACTAAATTTATTTATCATAAACTGAAAAGCTTACAATGCTGCGATCCCTACAACTTTAAAAATAATTATGAATTTCTGGTGTGTGTATAAACGTGCCGATTTATGTAAATTCGGGCGTCCATAGACGATATCAGAAAATAAGAGCGGTAAAGTCAATTAAAAATTTATTGGTAATTTTGTATTTCCTCAATAAGTGTCTTAAGTAAGACTATAAGGCCAAAGTACCTAAAATTCAATAAAATATTAGAATGTTTGAGATGCATTAAAATGTGTGCCCCTCTCTCTCTCTCCCTCGCTCTCGCTATCTCTCCTTCTCGCTCTCTCTCTCTCTCTCTCTCTCTCTCTCTCTCTCTCTCTCTCTCTCTATGTGGAGAGACAGACGGAGATATCGACAAGGCTAGCATGAATATGTATGTGTACCTCTCTCTATCCATGTGTGGAGAAAGAGAAACGTGGACAGCGCTAGCTAGTATATATATATATATATATATATATATATATATATATATATATATATATATATATATATATTACTGGAGACACAGAAAACAACAAATCAGAAGGTGTTTACGAAAGAGCAAAAAACAAATGTGAGTCAAACACAAACCCGCCCCATAATACTCGCCCAAACCCCACATTCTTACCCAAACATATTTTGTACGATCTTAGCGTGTCAGTAAGAACCACACCCAGCGGGAGGTAGAGAGAACATAGGACAAGAAGAACTATTACTACTACTATTACTACTATTACAACTTGTAAGTGTTATTAGAAAGTTCTGGGCGGACTCGTCGGTCGATAGAAATTACGATGGGTCAACGGTCGTTAAAAGTTCAACAATTAACTATTACAAATAATCTTTTCAATGCCTGACTACACTACACTCTCCTACATACCCCATTAAAGATCATCCCACACCCTTTGCCATTTACTATATATATATATATATATATATATATATATATATATATATATATATATATATATATATAGTGAAAAGAAAAAAGAACAAAATCAAGATTTGTTAATACTTTCGTTGAAGAATCCGGGCGGTGGCAATAAGTTTGCCAATGTATATATGACGGGGGACTGGAAATTTCTCGTCCCGACCGACTCCCCCAGATCAGTAGTTTAATGACAAGACATCAGAATAACGACTTTTGGCAAGTCGATAGGGCTGAGAACGTTTCATCAATCTTTGTATGTGAATATAAAAGATTAAAGAATTTCCTGAAATGAAAACGTATTGAAAGAGCACTGATCTCACAATTCTCTGCGGTCAACTATGGGCTGGGCTCATATACAATAGCATTGATGATCGCAAAAGTATTAGTTGCACAATGCGGTATACGAGCTAATAGTGGAAAAAAAGATCTACACGAGAGGGGGTTAAATTTCAAATCCAACGGACGTTAACAGCTTCAGTGTGAAATAAAAAAAAATTTCTGCTTGCAGCATCTAATAACAATTTATGTTAACTCTTCCCTATATTCCAACACATTTCCCTCACTCACATGTCTCTCCGTCTGGCGTAAAGATGCCTACTATAAGAGGCGAAATAGGTTGCTTTGCCACTTTATCTTATTATCTCCACTTTTGTTCGGCTATTATTCTATATCCTATATATATATATATATATATATATATATATATATATATATATATATATTAATTAATTAAATAATTTAAAAAATAGACAACCTTAAGTTTCCAAAAGAATTCTTTTGTAACTAGAGATGTGACCTGACGAACCAAGAAAATTATTTTTTCTGGGGAAATAAATTATAGCCATGGAAACTTAAGGTTATCTTAAGGTTAAGAAACTTAAGGTTGTCTATTTTTTTTTAATTAATATTTGTTCTTTAATTGATCTCTCTGGATCACATCCTGTTTGTAATTATCCACACGGATTACCAAACCCTTCATTACCTTTTATATATATATATATATCATAAAGAAATATACTACTCTAGTAGACTCGAACAAGAAAATTAAATCATCTATTACAAAAAATGTAAAACAGCTAACCTTATCAACAAAAATAACAACGCACTTTCAAAATCAAAACTACAAAGGACCAACATCATTTACGAGTTCAAATGCCCATTAAGTGTGTTCTCGATCAAATCAAACTCATAAGTAATTTGTTCGGTCACACTACTACATGCTTATCTAGACGATTTACGTTACACCTGCCAGACCACAGCTTCATTAGAACTCATTTAAACATACATACAAACCTACAAGACTCCATCTAAAATGTACTAATAGAAAATACAAGCATAATAACCTCATCCACATGTAAAAAAAAGGTTGAAAATAATGGAAGCTCTAATAATAAAAACGAAAAAGTCAACACACAATAACATTAACTATAAACATATATATATATATATAGAGAGAGAGAGAGAGAGTATTAATGTGAAGAAAATTATCACTTAATTGAGTGGTGTTAGTTCAGTCATGTCGACTTCGAAGTTTCGTGAGTGCATTGCAGTAATGATTTCACTCTTCAGGAGACTCTCTCTCTCTCTCTCTCTCTCTCTCTATATATATATATATATATATATATATATATATATATATATATCACATATTTTGATCTACTAATATAAGTACTTGTATTACGATATATATACCCTTTCTCACACTTCCATCTCTCTCTCGCTTCTCTCTCTCTCTCTCTCTCTCTCTCTCTCTCTCTCTCTCTCTCTCTCTCTCTCTCTCTCCCATCCACCTATCCTATAAAATACCTATATCTGCTCTGGTCCTGAAGTAGTAGTTGCGATGTTGTGGAAAGCTGTTAAGTGATTCATATTGAATATTTTAATATTGAACGATGCATTCAGCATTATTTTTTAACCAATACAAGGCCCAAGAGCCACTAAAGAGAGCGTGTTACTGAATGATGTTATTTTATGGACGTAAAAGGAGGAGGTAAGTAATGCAGTGTATAAGTTTATGTAGGATAGATAACGTGGATATATAAGTGGTTAGGATTGTCGTGATCGTGTAAGCATACTCTTGGGAGTCCGTTCCATAAAACGGCGGCTCTTGGGAAAAAGCAGTCCGAATGGAACTTCTTTCTTACCGATGCGAAGTGAATGAACATGATTCGAGCCTGTGTACACGGTGTGGCGGCTCCTAGCTGTAAATGTTTAAACTGGTGGAACTAAGGAATGTCAAAACATTTGGGTGAAGATTTCAGTTGGAAAATGTACAGCATATTATTATATTCTATCATTTTTTATTACATCTTTTATATTATTATATTATTATATTATATTATATATTATATTATATTATATTATTATATTCTATCATTTATTATTACATCTTTTATATTATTATATTATTATATTATATTATATATTATATTATATTATATTATTATATTCTATCATTTATTTATATTCTTATTATATTATTTATTATATTATATTTATTATATTATTATATTCTATATTATATTATATTTTTATATTATTATATTATATTATATTATATTATTATATTCTATCATTTATTATTATATATTTATATTATATATTATATTATTATATTCTATCATTTTTATTACATCTTTTATATTATTATATTATTATATTATATTATATTATATATTATATTATATTATATTATTATATGCTATCATTTATTATTACATCTTTTATATTATTATATTATTATATTATATTATATTATATATTATTATTTCTATTATTTATTATTACATTTTTTGATTTTTTACACTTTTGTAAATGATGAAATTATTTCATACAAAAACAATTCTACACACTATTTACATTATTCGGACTATCGTCCTCATCTCTGTTGCCGTATTTATCCCAACGTTTCGGCCGTTGTACGCTCCGGCCTTTGGGTCTTATCACTGGATCTCACCAACGCCTTTATCCACTGTGTTATGTGTCCTTAAGGAGTTACGAGTTCAATACCTGGTTAAGGCAGTGGAGAACTTGGAGAGAGGAATTAACAGGAGATAACTGATAACCAACATCCATTAGACATGGCACGTTGAAATAAAACAGCCTACCCCAGCGAGCGAATTAAAGGGTTCAGTTCGACATTCCAACCACCTCAAGAAGGCTGGAGCGTACAACGGCCGAAACGTTGTGATAAATATGACAACAAAGATGAGAACGATAGTTTGAATAATGTAAATAGTCTACATAATACCTCAATATAGATAGAAAAGCAATTCTTTTGTTTCTTTTTTTCTGTCTTTTTTTTACAAAGAACTATTGGAACTACGAGGGAAAAATGATATATTTGGGGGGGATATTAGAATAATCCAGAACATATACTGGGATAATCGCCTGCATACGAATAGAAAATTAATTCAGTAAATATACAAAAATAGAAAGGGGTGTAAAACAAGGATATGTCTTCTCAACAGATTTATTCAAATATATACAGTCAGCTAATTCTGAGAGAGAATTAGAATCCCTGCCAGGATTCATTATTGGCGGCCACAATCTTAACAACCTAAAATATAAAGATGGCACAGTGTTGATAGCTGACAGAAATGAAGCTATAAGAAGTTGAACAGAACTTCTTGTCGGCCTCTCTGCCACCGAGCAGAGAGGAACCCAGACTATGTTGTGGTAGATAGCCACCCGCCACCGTGTATGCGAAATCTAAGAGGAATTTTTACCCGAGCGTATGCACTCGGAATGCCTCACGTTAAAAAGAGGCCTTGTGGGGAGGCTTTGGGTAAATACCGAATGTATAAGAACACCTACAGAAGGTAGTGAAAGAAAAGCGAGAAAAAAAAACACTAAACATTAATTGTAAGAAGACACAATACATGGTTGTCATTAAAGGGAACAGCCCAACATACAAATTACAAATTGGAGATGCGAAAATCAAACAAGTACAAAAACTTAAATATATCTATGAAGTGTTTTAACAGAGGACGGAAAGTGTGGCATTAGGTGCTTTGGGATAACCAAAGTTGCCTTCCAAAAGCTAAGCAAAGTCTAAAGAAACAAGCAAAACATTGTTAGAAACAAAGAAAAGTGTACGTAATATTAGTCCTCCTATATGGCAGTGAATGCTGGACAGTCTCCTCACAGATGAAGACGAGACTTGAAACAACAGAAATGTGCTGAGAATACCATAGACCGAACATCTGAGCAACGATAACGTTTTAAAGAAAATGGAAACAAAAAGGACACAATTAAGTTCAGAAACACACAGGTGAAATGTCTAGGGTACATAATAAGGTAACAGGACTTGGAAAATTTGACACTCACAGTAAAGAGTGAAATCAAGAGGGACAGAAGAAAGCAACATATAACCACCACCACCCCAGTGAGCTTGAGTAAATGGATTACAGAACAGGGTTTAGGAGAGATAACAAAAGGATAAAATTGATTAATAGCTATAAAGAACAGGAAATTGTGGAGAGCCATAATCGCCAACGTCCTGAAGGGGCACTACATATAGAAAAAGAAGAAGAATTTTCAATCAATACAAGGCCCAAGAACTACTCAAGGTAGAGCCTTACTGAATGAAGTGTGTGGTATGGACATAAGAGGTGTAAGTAGAAAGTGAAGATTATGAGGATATAGAGGAGAGATAACGATTGAATCTGAAATTAAAGAGGTTAAGACTATATTTGTGGATACATTCTCATGGGAATCTGTTCTATAAAGTAGCAGTTCTTAGGAAAAGTCTTTCTAAATGAAACTTTCTTCTTATAAATGGAATACAGGGGGAATTAGGGTGATTCGACTTTGTGGACGTAGCAAGGCGGCTCTTAGCTGTAAAGGTCTGAACTGTTGAAATTAAAGAATTGAGCTCGTCAGAACATTTGTCATGGAAATAGTTTCATCTACTGAATAAATTCTTTATAGTAATTTCACCTTTCCTCAGAAAATTAGTTGTTTCTTTGTTTGTTTGCTTTCCCAACGAGGCAGAAACATTGAGAAATAGAGAAAATAAACTTGAAAGAGAAAGTTAATGTGTGTGAGAGAGTGGTAAACATAGAATGCCGAAAAGAAAATTCTTACGGAAAGAACAACAGTGAAAGAAAGAGTAAGAAAGAGGAGGAGAGAAACGTGAGAGAGGATATAGAAAACATAAGAAAAAGGGGGACAGAGAGAAAAGAGATCAGTTTTCCAAAATTTGAATCCGGTGACCTGCCTTGATATTTTTGCTTCCTGTTATAGCAATCTGCACAAGTTTGGTTATTTATTTTTATTTTTGTTTTATTCAATATGCTTTCTTTGGAAATACAATTTCCGCTTTTTATTCTTTTAAGAATTCCTTTTCTTTCTCTTTTCTGTTTCTCACCGTCTCATAACCAAACCAAAGCAAACATCCGGTTCTATCTCAGTTCTTTGTGATTTTTACGAGTTGTCGTCTCCCGCCAAAAAAAAAAAAAAATGTCTTGCTTTTAAAAACAACGCCAAAAATAATTAAATCTCAGCATTGAAAACAAAATCTCTTTACCTGAATTATTGAAAGAAACTTGAATGCCTCAAAGACCAAACTAGTTAAATTCTATCATCGCCGATCTGACCCCGAACTACCACCAATGAGTATGAACAGAGGTCCTCTCAGGGAAGCACCGTGCCTTGAAAGACCGTTGGGCCTCAAACTCACACCCAATCTGAAGTGGAACTCGTACATACCTTCCGTTGCTAAGAATACAGGTAAAATGGTCGGTTCGTTCCAGTAAGTACCTGATTTCTCCTGCTATTCTCTACCTTTACAAGATAAAGTCAAAAATGGAATAAGTTGGACGGGTGCTGCCCAAATCTCACTCTTCAGCCTTTGTGAATGACGAATTTTTTCTCCACCTTTCAACCTCTCCAGCTGGCGGGATGTAGCAATCATCTCACTGCTATACCGCTACTTCCACGGAAGGTGCTCGGACGAACTACATTCCCTGGTTTCGCCGAGGCAAACCGTCACAACAAAAACACGCCATGCGACTTACATAGTAGCAAACCGCTCACATTGCTTCCGTATTCCACCGGTAAGAAGTAAGTTCCACATGAGCAGCTCCTTCCCGCGAACCACTGACATGTAGAACCATCTCACAACAGGATGTTTCCTCGATCATTACAATCTTAACCTGTTCAAGGCTAAGGTTAAACGGTATCTTCCACTTCTATACACGCAAATGTCCCCCAAACGTAACCCTCGACTTCGAATATCCCCGGGCCTTGTAAAGGGGGAACTTCGCTGTAAAAAAAAAAAAAAAAAAAAAAGATAAAGAAAGCACTTCTCACTGAAAATTTATTTGCGTAATTTAAAGATTAAAAAACGTTCTTCTTTTCGATAATTTCATGTTTCGATTATTTTTTACCTTAATTTTTACTCCCAAATATGACGACATTAACCTTTTGAGCTCTGTGTTCCTGAACAATTTTAACCCTTCTGCCTGAGCTCCTGAGTCAAAATTCGCAAATAATTGGTATGTAATGTTTCACGGTAGATATAAAAATAGTTACAAAAAATATATAACTTCCTGACACTGTGCGCTTCGTGCTAAAAACGATCTTTTTTATCCAAAACACATGTACAAAATACAATGAAAAGGCGTGGACATGTTGGCATAATGTTCAATAACATCAGAATATTACGGTCTTTTTGATTGGCTGAGCATTACGCCATTTTTCTCTACTACCGGTAAAGTGGTGATCAGGGCTCAAAGGATTAAACTCAGTCGCGATAATTTCTTCTTTTTGATACATTGCTTTATAATTCATGACAGTTCAATCATTAACTCAAACCTTTTTCTATCCCACCTTAGCAATTTCTAAAACAAAAAGTAATTGATCTTTATTAATCTGACAGATTTTTATTACTTTAAATGTTATTTTTAGTGGATACTCATATTAGAGTAGACGCTCCGTTTATTTATTAAACGGTATTTATTATTCTATTATTCAAATATTATTGAAGAAAACTATGCCCCAAGGAACATAATGCCTATTTTTTAAAGATTTCTCGAGAAAAATATACTATTTAAAAAAATTCATGTAAATTACCACTGTCATCTAAAATAATAAACACAATCTGTTTAGCGTAGATTCTCGAAGAATTCCATTTCCTATAGATACGAAAAAGTTAGGACGAATATAGACGCAAGTATAAAATTATTAATCATTCGTACATTCATTTATTCAGTTAGCGTATCTGGTAAATTTGCAGATTAACCCCCGGAAACCAATTCTGATGAAAATTTCCATTCTGGTGGGAAATTGCCTGATTAATTCCAAAATACCAATAAAAGTTTGCGGAAGAAAATCATTTAGGAGTTATGGACAATATAAGTTCGGCCTTATTCGCGTCGAGCCCGGCTACCATTACTTTGTCTCAAGTAGTAATGCGCGGAAGCTTACTTAGTTAACGGCCTCTTTCTCGATCTTCTTATCTTCTTACACGTCTTGATTATTGCGAACATTCAAAGTTTGCGCAGTGCGCAGTAATTAGGAAAACTGAAGCTTCCGCGCATGTCTACTCGAAACAAATGTATGTAAAAAAGCCAGTAATGTCGGCCGGACTAAGCCGCGACGCGAATAAGGCCGAATAACTCCTAAATAGGTTTTCTTCGGCAAAATCTTATTGCTATTTTCGAAACAAGCAGGCAAATTTACACCAGAATGGAAATTTTCCTTACAATTGGGTTTTGCTTAATTTGCAAGTTTACCGCGCGCCTTGCGCCCCTGTTTTCGCTGCTCCCCCTATTTCTGTTGTAATTGTGGTTCAAAAGAATGTAATGGCTTTCCGGTTCCCTTTGGCACTGGAGATGTTGAGTTTATCCCGTCACTCCCCTCAGAACTTCCTACGCCCAATAATAAAGTCATTGACCTCTGAGGAGCAGCACCTACACCCAGGCTTCTGAATTGTCAATGGCCGCTTGCCACAGATGAGTTGTGAAGAGATTTTCCCCTGCACCGATTGCGTCGGGAAACCCTTTTGTTTACCCTCACACAGTTTAGCTGACACGTCGATGCCGTTGACCGGCTGAGACTGTCGCAGTGCCCATGCAAATTCTTCGAGTCACGTGTGAGAGTTGGATGTAGGCCTCGGATCAGTACAGTTCAGCATCCTGATTCATCCGATTAAAGCAGGTTCGACCGCTTTGCTGCAAAGCTATTATCACTGACGATGCACCCAAAAACTATCAATAAGTACAATAAAAAGAATAGAATATTTTTTTTTATTCATTTCACCCTAAACAAGGCAATAAAACCACTGAGACGCAAGGGATTACCGAGTGAAAAATCATAAGAGAAAAAGAAAAATATTATTAATTTTAAAATAAAAGAATAGGAATTAACAGGTTATTTTATTTATGGTAACTGGATTTTGAAACTTCGATACTGTGCGTCTGAAAAATATCGCTTTTATCACAGTCGTCATTGCTTATCGGCTTTTTGGCTAAGATCAAAGTGTAGTATCTGTTTTAATCAGTTTAATCTGATTCTCTCTCTCTCTCTCTCTCTCTCTCTCTCTCTCTCTCTCTCTCTCTCTCTACTTCTGTCTTCTTTTCTTTTTCTCTTTCTTTCTTTCATTTTCTCAGTGAAACCAAGCAGTGTATTTTCGAAATAGTTTATTACTTATGATATATTGACATGGCGTAACGGTCGTGCGAACTAACGAAGGCGGGAACAAGCACAATGTTTTATGTTGAAACCTGTTTTTGAAATAAAAACAAAATATATTAAATATTTAAATATTTATGAGTAACAGGTTATGTAAATGCTATTTTCTTAATGGCAAATACATTTTGAAATTGAATAAAAACATAAAAGTTTATTTATTTGCAAAAGAGATTTGACTAAGTTTTGCCAGATCAATATAAAACGAGTGACCCTTTTACATAATAATACCAACAAGTCTGGAAGAAATCTTTTGATCTAACAGCTGAGGTTCACGTAACTATAAGTTCATATATTTAATTATTTATTATAAAAGAAACCACGTTATCGGTAGTCTTTGTGATGTCTCGACTTCGAGACGCATTTGATAAAAGCGATGGTTGAAGTAATCAAGTTCCATGACCCAAAGAGATGTGAGTTCAATACCTGGCTACAGCAGAGCTAAACAAAAACTTGGAGAGTTGTTGAGTTACTAAAAAAAAAAAAAAAAAAAAGGAAATAACTGAAACTGGGATATCCAGAAAAGGCATGGCACGTGGAACTAGAACAAACTACCCCACGCAGAAGAAATAAAGGATTTGGTTCGAAATTCCTACGTATATGACCTGAAGAATGTCGGAGCGTACAACGGCCGAAACGTCGTGAATATGACAATAAAGATGAGGACAGCAGTCCGAACAATGTAAATAGTGTAAATAGTTACAATACCTTATCTCAGAAATAGTGACAGATATTGAAGGTGAATATGGCAATAAAGATGAGGACAACAGTCCGAACAATGTAAATTGTGTAAATAGTTGCAATACCTCATCCCAGGTATATAGAGAGATGTAGAAAGAACACTTATACTCAGAATCAGGAAAAGATAACTGAAATTACTTAGGCACATAATGAGGAAGAAAGGCTTGAAAAACTTAACCTTCACAGGGAACACGGTGAGCAGCAACGATCCACTTACATGACAAACTTGTGTAAAAACAACGATCCACTTACATGACGAGCTTGTGCGAATGGTTGGCAGAAGAGCCATAGCAAATTATATAGATTATACGTGTGCAAGATAGATTCTGGCGAAAAAGATTGTCTAGCACCACATAGTGGACAAACTTTTCTAGCAGAAGTCTGAACAATGGAAACAATTGAGTCTGAACAATGGAAATAACACTAACAAGAACAAACCGTCTGATCAAGACAACGTGTCAGTCTCATTAAAAAAAAGTGCAAAGTTTTCTATAATTCTTACTCGCCAGTTAAGTATTATAAAGCATCAAATTTATTTTACTTTGAATGCTTGTTGCTCTTATTAGTTTTTGACTTTTGGTTTTTGTTTCTTTTTTTGTTTTTGCTTGTTCTTGTTCTTATTTTTACTTTTTTATCTGAGTCGCATTCAAGAAATAAAAAAATGTTTATCAAACCAGAAATTTGTGACAATAACTGTCATTAAATATTCAGGACGTAAGTTAAAACTTCTAATATTTAGTCAACACACCCAACATAAGTCATGATTCGAGCCAATCCTACTAAAATAAAAACATTTAAATTATTTAATCTAAAATTAATCGTCGAATAAAATATAATTTCCAATAAGAAAATTACCATATTTGACAGCATATAAGACGCGCGGGTGTATAAGACGCATCCCAGCAGTTAAAATCAAGAAAAAAATTAGTAATGAGTAAAATTAGTAAAATTATTAGCAAATGCTACAGCCTAGGCTATATTTATTAGGTATTATTTTGATTAAACAAGCCATAATTACAATTAAACGAAAAATAATAGGAAAAAAGGAACACGAGCGTATAAAAACTTTATTATATCCAAAGGTAAGAAAACAAAATAAAAATCAAGCAATTATTACAACTGAGCAAAACAGTACAGTTACCATTAAAATTTGATTTATCGTCAAATCCATCGTCGTTAAATAATGCGTCACCTTCCGTTCCATTGAGAGCATTGCTAATGCCACACTTTTTAAAAGGTTTCACAAGAATTTCTGGTCTAATATTATCCCAAGCTTGCTTCATCCATTTGCAGACTTGTACAATGCTGTGTCTTTTTATTCTTCCTGTAAGTGTCAGGTCGTTATCAGGCATTGCCATTCATGTATTCCATTGCTCCTTCATGTTTAAGTTTAAGCTAATAGGAGTTGCCAGGTAGCTAATTTCGGTCGACTATCGCGAATTTTAAATCTACATATGGTATATAAAACGCAGGGGAATCTTAAAATAACATTTTTAGTAAAAAAAATTAGTGCGCTTTATATGCCATCAAATACGGTAATTAAAAATGTTCATATACTGCAGACATCAAATAGAATCAAAAAGCGCAGTAAAAAAGAGGAAAATATACTGCGGCCATTTTGTTTTTAGATTTTAATGTGTTTTGAAAAAAAATATGACGCATGGGAAAACTTTGAAAAGGAAAAAGTAATTAGGTTAATGACACTAGAGCTGAATATAAATGACTTATAATGTTTTCGCTTTTTTGCAGTCCTTTTAAGATTATGCAAATTGCAGTCATGTGATGATCGAACGAAAGCCTAATAATTGATCTCAAGAAAAATAGCGAGTTGAACAAAAAGCAAAATTCTTCAGACTAAACATTAACATTTATCATGTTTCATAGACATTTATTCGTTTACAGTTTATTACGTATTATTATATCACGTAATTATTTACACCGAACCAAGAAGGAAGTTAAAAAATTCTGTTTAGTCATAATTTCTTACCCTTGAATACGAAACAATTTTTTTCTATGAATCGTCTTTGAATTCAAATGAATTAGCCTAAAAAACGAATAAATAATTTTAAAATGCATCTAATTTTACTTCTACTGAGTTTGGTGCAAAACCAGGAATATGGTCGCAAATTGAGAGATCAAAATTGGAGAACAAATGTCTCCTAAAACCCATCGATTACTGTACAAATAAAACAATTATCTGGAAAGTACCAGAAAAGAAAAAGAAAAATTATGAATCATTTCGTTAAGGATTGCCGATGAGCGAATAGTGTAACGGTTAGTGGCTGGCAAAGAACAATCAGCGGGCCGAGTTCGAGTTCCGATTGTGTTCATTACGTACACTTTCGCACAAATAACCTTGGAAAAATATAAGAATCCATCTTTTCTTTTTCTCTCGCCTATAAAATACCTCTAGCCTTGATTGGCAACCGGTCTGTTGACTCGATAAAAACAACATACACCCCCAACAGTACCACGTAGGAATATGTTGGCCTGTAAACATGTAGAATGATTTAGATTATCAAGTCAGGTGAATTGAGCAATCTGCCGTAGACAGGAAAAAGCGACTAAAGTTCATTTAGGATTTGAGTATCTGTTATAGCTAGCTCCCATAAAGGATTCTATTAGTTATTTTTTTTTACACTTGCAAGTGGGCATCATCAAATATAAACTTTTGTAAAGAGCTAATAAATTCACAGTTCACTAATATACCACTAAGTATGCCAGCTTCTCACTTGTTGTTATAAACTATTCACTTTCCATCGTCGGCCACAAATTGTTTCAAAATGTGAACATTTATGGTATGCTTAAGGGGCTAATAATACATACAAATATCATCCATTGCTTTTGTTTTTGTAGCTTTTCGTTATTTTTTGTTTGCTGTTCTGTTTTTTTTTTTTGTTTTTCCTATGTGGAAGCCTAACATCAAAACTACTAACATAACCGAACTGGTTCAAATGATTTTCCAGCTCCTGATTTATTTTCATTATTTTTTTTTTTATTTTCTTATCGCCCGCTTCCTAAACCGTTTATTATTCTCAAGTAATGTCTTAATTTGTTTTTTATCAACTGGTTTATCTGATTGTGAAGCACAGCTTAGCGAGAAATGTTTAGGAAGAAACTTTGCAAACAAATTTTTTACATGCGCGATCACGCATAGTACATTCTTCATAAACTGCCCAATATTTTTTCATTTAACTCGCATTTTTACGTTTCCTAAAATGAAGATTTTGCAAAAAGGTTGTTCATTTTTGTTGTGAGAGAGAATATTTCCCTACAAGTTTTGAATCGGCCGTCGGACGAAAGACATTGAAATACTCCTACATCAAGAGGAGTAGCAGGAGGAGCAGTAGCCTTTGCTGAAAATCGTTAGTCATTCACGGTTAATCATTCTCTTCCCTAGTTCCTATTCTACATTATGTTTCCTTGTACCAAAAGGTAATAAACTTTTTGTTAAACTAATTCCAGTTTTCTACTGTTGTTTTTGGTAACTCAGTTACAACAATTTTCTTCCTACTTCATTATAAGAAAAGATGCCAATTGTAATTATTTTTACTGCATGCTGATACGGCAGTTGTCACAATACAATTAGAACCTATCATTTTGAATAAAGTTAGTTAATATCATCTAAGAAAAAGAAACAAACTTTTGACCAATCCAGTAGATTGTTTTAAGAAAATAATAGCTGAACCGGTAGGAAATGGATTTATCCAACTAAAGTCACTCAGTAGAATATAAAGAATGGATTAAATTAAGAAATTAAATTAAACCCGTTCTATGATAAATTGCACGAGGTGGATGATGAAAAGTTCCACTAAAACCTGATCAAATGAACTAATAGATTTTTTAACTTCCTTCTTAGTCTGGTGTAAATAATTATGTTATCTAATAATACATAATAAACTGTAACCGAATAAATGCACATCAAATATGATAAATTTACATTTTTAGTCTCAAGAATTTTGCTTTTTTGTTCAACTCGCTATTTCTCTTGAGATCGATTATCTTATGATTGGAATTTGTATAATCTTAAAAGTACTAGACTGAAGAGAAAAATTAAAAGTAATTTGTATTCAACCCTGGTTCTTTTTGCATAATTACTTTTCTTTCCTTTTCAAAATTTTCCCATACGCCATATTTTTTTCAAAACATTAAAATCTAAAACCAAAATAAACGCGGTATATTTTTCACTGCGCTTCTTGATACTCTTTGATGTCTACAGTATCTAAAGGTTTTAATTGGTCATAAAAGAATCAGTAATCCCTATAATCCTTTAACTACTTTAATGCGACAGAGTCTTCTTACGTAAATATCAAAGAATCTTTACTGTTAAATTTTGAGGAAAAGCAGATAAGCACATCAAGTTCTTGACTTTACTTACAGTCGTCATAATCGGACCATTGAAATAGGCCGTTTCTTTAATAACTTCACGATTAAACTGTCCAGAATTTTAAACTTTATCACAACGAACCAGGTTCTTATCAATAAATCAAAGGTTTACGCATCTCTTAGTAAAAGTCGGTGAGACTGAAAGACAACTTTCGAATATTAGATTTTTATGGTAAGCAAACTTCTTAGTTCTTAGGGAAATATTTCTATTTCTAGAAGACGCCTCAGCTAGATTAGTCTGTCTGCCAAGTTCAGAGCTCATTGGCTGTTACATACAAAACAAAATGGTTGCTAAGAGGGTTTAATGGGTAGCGGAATTATTTTGGTTGACCATTTATACTAGCATTGCTCTACTCTAAAGTTGGCATTAAATAACCCAAAAGGGTTGATGTAATGTAGAAAATCAACCAACCAATTTCGATATGGTTCTGTATTTATACACGTGGTAGATTGACTGAAACCAAAAGATCTATTCATGACAACGTTTGACCAGCAAAACATGTCAAAATGTTTCCCAAATTGTCTTATATATTTACGATTTCTAGTCAATAGATGAAAACCAAAACCTCTAACCTGCATTCCCAACGCCACAAGTCTAATGAATAAACAATAAAGCGCCCAAATGAACGCCAATTTCATCCTGGTACACTAACCAGAGTTGCTGAGCAATTATGCCCGCTTTTTCAGAGTGGCCAGTCAAGTTTCGATAAAACAGACGTGATATTATTAATTTGTTTAAAATAGGGCACATCTTGTTGGTATTGATTTATCTACCGTCCAGACCTTTAAAAAAAAAACTATCTTGAAGATCTCGTAGACTGGCGCTACAGAAGCACAAATAAAGAACTGTACCAAATAACAAAATACCACATCACTTCAAGACTTTCAACAGCAGTAACAAATAAAATGAATAGAACATGAAACACAAAGAGAAAATAATAATATAATCAAGATGTTGAATTTCCACGCTACCATATACAAAAGGTTTGGAAGGAAACTCCCATCAGAAAGACCGATAACAGTGGACTTGAGAAAAACTGTTTCAAGAGAAAGATTTCATAAATTTCAATCGACACTAACGGTAACTGTTCGGTCAATGAATGTCGAACGTTTCCTTATAAGGAAATGACTAACCTTACTATTAGCATAATTAGTTACCATTTTTATTTTGTTTGCATAGTTATATTAAACTGACTTATTGACTAAATTGCTAAGACTTCTGCTAGAAAAGTTTGTCCACTATGTGGGGCTAGACAGTCTTTTTCGCTCGAACCATGACTTATGTTGGGCGTGTTGACTAAATATTAGAAGTTTTAACTTACGTCCTGAATATTTAATGACAGTTATTGTCACAAATTTCTGGTTTGATAAACAATTTTTTATTTCTTGAACGCGACTCAGATAGAAAAGTAAAAATAAAAACAAGAACAAACAAAAACAAAAAAAGAAACAAAAGCCAAAAGTCAAAAACTAATAAGAGCAACAAGCATTCAAAGTAAAATAAATTTGATACTTTATAATTCTTAACTGGCGAGTAAGAATTATAGAAAACTTTGCACTTTTTTTAATGGACTGACACGTTGTCTTGATCAGACGGTTTCTAAACTAGTAAATATCTATGGAAATAGTGTTATTTCCATTGTTCAGACTCAATTGCTAAGACTTCTGCTAGAAAAGTTTGTCCACTATGTGGTGCTAGACAATCTTTTTCGCCAGAATCTATCTTGCACACGTATAATCTATATAATTTGCTATGGCTCTTCTGCCAACCATTCGCACAAGCTCGTCATGTAAGTGAATCGTTGTCTTTACACAAGTTTGTCATGTAAGTGGATCGTTGCTGCTCTCCGTGTTCCCTGTGAAGGTTAAGTTTTTCAAGCCTTTCTTCCTCATTATGTGCCTAAGTAATTTCAGTTATCTTTTCCTGATTCTGAGTATAAGTGTTCTTTCTACATCTCTCTATATTCCTGGGATGAGATATTGTAACTATTTACACTATTTACATTGTTCGGACTGCTGTCTTCATCTTTATTGTCATAATCACGATGTTTCGGCCGTTGTACACTCCGGTCTTCTTCAGGAGATATAGCTTGGAATGTCGAACCGAACCCTTTACTTGTTTCGCCGGGGTAGATTGTTCTAGTGCCACGCCTTTTCTGGATATGTTAGTTTCAATTATTTCTTAGTTTCATTTATTTCCCTTTTTTTATTTTCTCAAAGATTTTGTTCAGCTCTGCTGTGGCCAGGTATTAATGTCAAAACTATTTGGGTCAAGTTACTCCACTGGGCCATAGTATTTGGAGAATTGAGAAACTAAAGAGAAATCGCTGAAGCTGAGATATCCAGAAAAGGCATGGCACGTGGAACTAGAACAATTTATTCCAATGAACTGGATAAAGGATTTGGTCGAAATTCCAACGTATCTCACCTGAAGAAGGCCTGAGCGTACAACGGCCGAAATGTCGTGAATATGATCATAAAAATGAGGACAACAGTCCGAACAATGTAAATAATGTTCTCTCTGTTGTCATTTTCTTTAAGACTTCCCTGCTGCTTACTCGCTCCGTTCATGGAATTTCTTGTATCCTTCTGTAGAACGACATTTATACTGCCTCCAGTTTTCTCCTCATCTGCGGGTTGATTGTCCAGCATTCACTGCCATATAAGAGGATGGATAACACACAGCAATCCAGCATTCTTTTTTTCTTTTTTCTTTTTTTGTTTTGTTTCTAACGAGATATTTCCGTTTCTCAGCACCTTGCTTAGCTTTTGGAATGCTTCTCTTGCTAGTTCGGTGCATGTTCGGATCTCGTCGTTGCATTTTCCAACCTCCGTTCAAACAATTAACAAGATAGTTAAACTTCTGCACCTGCTACATGTTTATATCTCCAATTTGTAACTCGCAACTTGGACATTTCCTCTTATTCGTTTATTTTAATTAATAAATAGCTTATACGAGTAAATAGATTTTATATACAAGTATATTTAGTTTTCTTGATCATTGTGTTTTGTTTTTTTCATTTCGTTTTTTTTTTTTTTTTTTTTTTTTTTGCTTCTTTTGTTTTCTCTCTCCCTTAAATTCGGCATGGCATTCCTTTACTCTTTTATTCACACCCATTTTTTTTTCTGTGCCTAATTTTACCCTACCGTTTAATCTATCGAAGATACCTCTGTACATTTTCATTCTCACTGTAGATTTTCAGTCTTTTTCTTTCATTCTTTCTTTCGCTGCAAAAAGCCTACGCCCCAACTATTTTACGGTAGCTAATCTCCCAAATTAGCAACAGCGAACAAGATAAGACCCAGATGACTTTCAAGCGATCAGTGCGAAAAACCTTTCTTCTGCGCTCCACCCTTCTACTTTTGCCTGTATTTTTTTTTTTTTTTTTTTTTTATGATGAGTAAGAAAGCAGGTGGATTGGTATGCATGCACGTCTGAAAGATGAAAGAGGGGAGATTTTCGGGAGTCACTACCTACACTTATGAGAGAGGAGGTAAGCAGGGTCAAAGTAAGATATGCGGTTTTAACTTTTCAAAAGGTAGGAAGATTGATAGGCAGGTTAAAGAGGAAACAAAGAGGCAGAGAGAAGAATGTTGGATGTCGTCACGAAAAAGAAAGAATTGTTTTCATTTGGATGTTACTGAGTGACATTTTGAGGGATTTCGAGGAATTAAATCTAAGATTAGGGGATTGGAGAAGGTACGAAAAATGTAACGTGTTTATCCAGAGAGTTTTTTTTTTTTTTTTTTTTCATCATTTCAAGAAAAGAGTTCAATTTTCTATACCACGAGTATAAAAAGAATCTAGCTTAGAATAACCAAACACCGGAAAAAACTTATGATAATATCTGTCTGAATTTCTGAGATGAGGAGTTATCATTTACATTATTTATATTCGGATTATTATCCTCATCTTTGTTGTTGTTGCCATATTTCTTAGGGTTGTGCCCACCGGCCTTCATCAGGTGGATATCGATCTGGGTAACCTACAGGGAATTCTGAACAGAATTTTATCTACGGGATTAGATTGTTCTCATACTACAGCTCATATCTAGGGATATTGTCTAGTTCTTATTTTTACTACTGCCCAGTTATTGCTCCCCCGTTTTGACTGAGTCCATGATGTCGTCTTGTGATAGTGTAAAAATATGTATTAAAATAGAAAAAAGGAAGCGTTTTTGTTTGTTTTTGTTTGTTTGTTTGTTTTTGTTTTGTTTTGTTTTTTGTTTTTGTTTTTTTTTATCATTTTGCCCCGAGAAAGGCAATAAGGCCACTAAGACGCAAGAGGTTACTGAGAGTGAAGGAAACTGAGCAAACATTGCTGAAGAGAAAGGACAATAAAACGAATAAGATTCCAAGTGAAATTTATAATATATTTATAACAGATATATTTATAACATATTTATTATAGAGTTCATATTAGAAACATTTAATAGAAGATTTATAATTTATTTATTATAGAATTTATATTAGAAACATTTAATAGAAGATTTATAATTTATTTATTATAGAGTTTATAATAAAAACGTTAAAAAAGGAATGGAGCGATTAGGATTAAAACTAGCAACAGATAAAAGAAACTTGGAAAGAAAAGAGGTGACAGGAGTTCACAAGCTAAATACGCTTCTTATAATTACAGATAGTTTTAAAGCTATTATTTTTGTCAGAATAAATTGCTCTCAACTACTTTCTATAAAATGAATGTCTAAGTTTCATCTCAATAAACTTCGTACTGATACTTTACAATGTAAAGCTGAATTTCACAATGAATTTAATAATGACTATAAATTGTTCATATTTTGATATACCGTTATCTAATATCTCTGTCTCAATGTGATCATAATAAGCGGCTTTTTCTGTATACCAATACAGAAATGCCAAGAAAAAGATACGAAATTAGAGAGAATGACATCGAGGGGAAAGGTAAAATGCGTAAAGACTGAAAGATAGAAAGATGACTGTAGAGTAAGTAAAAGAAAGATGGTGAAAACAGCAAAGGGAAAGAATCAATTATAAAATAACATACGTAGAAAATAATAATGCAAGGAGTAAAACAAAAAGAAAGAAAAAAGCCAATTAAAGATAAACAACAACAACAAATAAGACCAGGTAATAAAAAAGAAGGACATATTCCAGGCGATGGAACTGGAAGATGAATACGAACAACAGACACTTAAGAACACCCTGACGTCAGAGCCTTCACGATTACGTCACATTGACGTATGCCGGTGTTAACGGTAGATTCTTGACAGGTGTTCAGTAGGAGTTGCTTACGTTAAAGAAGGTACGTATATCTGGGAAGCACCATTTGCTAGGCTCTATGGTTATATTTGAATCATCATGACGAGTTTCCATCTACGTTGATAAAAATCTAGGCATGTACGACTAGCCGTGACCATATAACGGCAAAGTCATGTGTAAATACATGATTCTAAAATAAACATGAGATTTTTTTAGCCTTAGTTATTTGAGATTTCTACAATTTACTTTAGCCAATAGTACAGGCATCCGTAAGCATGTGACATTATTTTTGTTTATCTAGTTAGCCAATAGATAGATAGATAGATAGATAGATAGATAGATAGATAGATAGATAGATATATAGACAAAAGGAAAAGCTATTATTAGCCGACGTATTTTGTCCTCTGAGGGACTTTTATCAAGGCAAATCAGTGGACGAAACGCGTCGGCTAAGAATAGTTTTTCTGCTTGTGTTTTTACTCATGTTTATATATATTGGGTTGGTGCATAATTATCGGGCGTTTTTTAAACAATATTTATTATAAAAAAAAAACATAACAATTCAACAATAAAATTTTTAAATATGATTATCGACACGCATTTTTATAAGCTGAAAATAAAATATTTTTATTTAAAAAAATTTAAACAAAACAACAGTTTTTATTAAAAAATAACTCGCCTACAAAAACGCCTGATAATTATGCACCAACCCAATATATATATGTTTGTGTATCTGTACGCGCGTGCACGTGTGTGTATGTGTAAAAATACAGATATAAATAAAATATATCTGCAAAAAGACAACATGAATATAAACGAAAGAAAAACCTTTATTTACCAACGCGTTGCGTCCTCTGATAAACTTTATCAAGATAAATATAGGGATTTTAATTTGCAGCGTGTATTTTTAAACAAAAATAAAAAATATCATCAGGTTTTTAAAATTTTTGAAATTTAACAATGCTCAAAAATATTTTCAAAAAATACTCCTTTCCCAAGCCAACGTACATGGCCATAAAAAAATTTAAAACTTGTAAGAAAACTATTAATCCCACAATTCTATTATCTTAAATAAATACATAAATAATTTAGCAAATAAAAATAAAATAATAATTACATTAATATAAATAAAAAATTATATATATAACTATAGAGTGGACATTGAAGTCAACACCCAGCGGTGACAGTCTGTTTCCTACAATCGTCAGGCCTGTTGACGCTGGTTGTTGACTTCAATGTCCACTTTTATATTTAAATACGTTCTATTAAGCACTTTGACCCATAAATAAAGCATACCTTAAAACTATATTTTTATTATAAATAAATATACATAAACAGATAAGGAAGCAAACTATTCAACAACAACATTTACTCACTTTCGTTTATTAGGCATTAAATAACATCACTTAGCGTCTTCCATAGTTTACCTTTACTTTTACGTATTAAGAATAGCTTTGAGCTTTCCCAAATTTTAAAATTTTGGTAACCTAAAGATATTTTACTTCTTGTAAATGTGTGATGCAAAATAAAATCTTTTTATTTACCTTGATAATGTCCATCAGGGGATGAATGTGTTGGTAAAGACACGTTTTCCTTTTGCTTTTATTCACACACACACACGCGCGCACGCACACACACATACACACATACAATAATATCAAAAATCGTTACTCAATAACAATTATCAGGTGATATAATCAATATTTATTTATGTACAAATCGCATAAAATGGGTAAAGCTGATCATGACTCTTCTTGACTTAACTGGTTCTATTCACTTACCCAGTTACACTTTTATAAACTTATTATAAACTTTACACCATAATACCTATCTGTCTATTCGAATATACCTGTCTACTAGGTCAGCGACCCAATCCCTTTTGCAGACGCTTGCTCAAGCACATTTGTGCTTGTTCAACACCTGTGGCTGAACAGACCTTAGGTACAGTTTATGGGAAAGCTCAACAAGCACGCCCAAACCCTCGGTCACGATGACTTGTGATTTCGTGCTAGCACAGCTATAACTATCTGCCCAATTTCATTGCTTGGGTCATCCCGTAGTATGGTTTTTCAGGCAATTTTCAAAGATGTCGCACGCTGGGATCACCCCAGACCGATAACATCGAGAAGTCTCCTTCCTGACAAATCAACCATGTTGAAACTCGAACCCGGTTACAGCGAACGTTGTAACCACTCAGCCACATGCCCAAATACACCATAATACCACATTTATACAAAATCACAAACATCCCACAAACACCAAAAGAACATTCTCTCCATGTAACCCTGAACCCATATTTGCAAACATATCGAGAATGGGGGTAAAAAATTAGAGATGATTTTTATTTACATGAAAATAAAAACTTTTGACAGGAAGATGTAATTTTGAACCAATTCCTTTAATCTGATTTATATGATCCTGGGGGGTGGCAGCGCCTATAAGCCCGTTTCTTTATTCAGCAGCTGGCCATCCATTCGTTATAGGATTAGCAATTTTTCATTGAGACATGAACTACTGCCTTTGCCAACTTAGTATTTTCCATATGATAGGTGGCGCTTCACTTCCGCTTATAATGACATCCCAATTGTAGGTAGAAAGAGCAGTGCTACCTTAGTATTTTCTGTTGCTCAGACTCATGGTTGCTGAATCGTCTTTTCTATTCCACTTCGGCGACTGCTTATATAGTACTTGACCTCGCCACCACTAATCGCCTTAACCTCATAAACAACGTCCATTACGAACACGCTCCTTTGAGAAGACATTAGTCTTTTCCTCTGCATATACATCTGAGGGATTTCTTGCTATCACGTACCTCCACTGGAGTATATAAATCAAATTATAGCTTGGCTGGGGTAGATGATTGGAAAGGAAGCGAACCAAGGAGCAGGAAAGGAAAGATAAGGAAAGCAACCCACGTGGATTCAGAGGAAACAAAAACAGAGGAAGATTCTGAGGAAGAAGAAGGAAGAGAAATAATGCAACAGCCTGATGATTGTTATTACATGAAACTCTGAGTAGTGGTTTTTGATATTATTGTATTAATATTATTTTTTGAATATATTATATTCAGGCTTTGTCGATTTTGACGTTGATTCCTCAGTTCATTTCATATATTAAGCTTAAGCTTTTGGTTATACTATTTGTATATATATATATATATATATATATATATATATATATATATATATATATATATATATATATATGAGTGGATATTAAAGTCAACACCGGACGGCGACAGTCTGTTTCATGCTTAAAAGCAATCGTCAGCATGAAACAGACTTCAATGTCGACTTTATATTTATATATGCTTTATCCTTGATATTTAGCACTTTAGCATACTCTAAAAGTATATTTTTTATCACACACACATATATATATAGATAGATAGATAGATAGATAGATAGATAGATAGATAGATACACCTAGTGAACCAGACAAACCTACCTAGGTTTCACCTAAACGTTTGGCCAAACTTTCCCTGACGATCCGTTTAGGTGAAACCTAGTTAGGTTTGTCTGGCTCACTAGGTGTATCTAGGTCTGCTCTACGTTGTATTGAGCTCTTTTGTTAGTTAGTTGTTTACTCGTATCAGGGTTTTTTCTTTGGGCTTCAGACCTGCATCTGTGCGATTTTTTTGTCGACAGAAGTTTATGTTTATATATATATATATATATATATATATATATATATATATATATATATATATATATATATATATATATATATATATATATCAGGCAAGTAGGATCTAACGTTGGTTTCCCTTTGCCCAGAGTGACACCGGTTCCAATCCTGCCGGAGAGCGCATATTTTTTCTTTAATGAGATTTGTCGAATATTCAGGCCGGTAGTCGAAAATAGATAAATATATCGTTTAATAAATAAACGGAGCGTCTACTCTTTAAAATGGTAAAAATCTGTCGGATTAATAAATAAAGATAAATTACTTGCTTACTTTTGGATACGAAAATGCGTAAATATATTACTTTCGAGATGAGAAATTTTTGATTAAAGGCGCTGTTCAGAACTTGCATGATCGGCAAAGTCGGTTAAGCACATCGGATTACACTACAGTTCAAAAGATTGAAGGCACCTTGGTAATTTTTTTAAATTGACCTCAAAATTAGTTGTTTTGTATTTTAAATAAGAATAATCTATTACACACTGTTAAAAAAGTGGGACATGATTTTTTTTATTAGAAATTTTATGACAAAAAGAAAAAAAAAGCATTTCATGATTAAATTTTGCTTTCGTCAAAATATCCTCGTTTAGCTTTGATTACTGCAGCAAGTTTTAGCATTCGTTGCAAATGTTTCTCAATGTATAAGTTTGATAACTGATTCCATTGTTAATTAATTATTACTTGTTCTGTTTTAATATATATATATATATATATATATATATATATATATATATATATATATATATCCAGCTATGGGTAAAATAGCAGGACAAACTGGGTTCTATAGCCTTGGATGGCAACTGGTCTAGGAGAAGAACAATTCTGAATTCAAAACCTGCGGAGGGTCGTTTAGGAACCTTGTGGCACTCAGTGCACCAGGTCTCTGTATTCGTCCCTTCAAAAAGTGTGGATGGTCCTGCATGAGGCCTTCACCACAATAATCAAATCTCATGTGACAGTGTCGGGCTGTCGGTTTCCTGAAACTGATCTGTTTGACCCTCATACGTCGAATCTCGACGGGAGAGTCGACTATATATATATATATATATATATATATATATATATATATATATATATATATATACACCGGGTGTAACAGCAAAATTGTCCAAATCGTCTTACAGCATAATCGTCCATCCCACAAAATGTTTCACAGCTAAAAAAAAAAAATAAACTAATTGAGTTTCTTCTTTTCCAGGTTTTCACATAAGACGTTTAGCCATCTTGATACCATTTGTTGTAAGAATCACTGAAAAATATTGAACTCTCGGGATTTATATATATATATATATATATATATAAGTGAATATTAAAGTCAACACCGATTCCTACCTTCGATGATTTTTAAAGCCAGTTCGAGACCCACACAGCATTCTACATATAGGACAAAGAACAATACTTCTTGTGAAGGTTGGAGGAATAACAGGACGGTGTTTAGTGTTCTGCCTTGTAACACGTAGATATTCAACGACCGACTTCTTAAAATCCGTAATACCTTTTATGCATATACTCTTCCACTTTGCACGATCAGAAGTCACTTTCTCAAAGGGATGTCAATGGAATTTAGGTTTTACTTAAGTTTATCCTTGATCTTCAACGGTTTTTTTTTTCACTTTCCCAGAAGCGTCATCTAATTAGCAGTACACGAGAATTGCACACAACATGACCAGCCCAGTTATGATTGCATTAAAAATGTCTTTATGCTTCCAATTTCGAATTTACAAAATTATAGCCACAGATTGGACGAAAGCACAGTTTTGGGGAGACGTCAAGCTGGCGAATATGGGTCCGGCAGGTGATTCAGTATTTGGAGTCAAATAAGAAGAGTTGTAATTACTCAGTGGTGCTCACCCTGTACAAGGCTCTGGAGCCACTCGATGTAGAATGTTACAGAGTAAGAGTTACAGCTTATGCGGATGTGTGTGGAAGATAGCGGTTAACTCTAGACTTGAACAGGTTAAGATTGTAATAATCGGATCAGCAAACTCTTGGGAGTCGGTTCCATGAGTCAGAGGTCCGTGAGAAGAAGCTGCTTGAGTGAAACTTACATTTCATCGGGGGGGGTATTTGAAGGGAATGAGGGTGGTTCGCTACAATGTACGTAGCATGGCGGGTCTTAGCCGTGAAGTTGAGGACTGGTGGAACTAAGGATTATAGTTCATCTGAACTCTCACCAAGGAAATAGCAATAGAGCAGTGAGAGACTTGCAACGTCTCGTCTTTAAGAGAGGGGTTTCAGAGTGGGAATAATCCATCGCCTACGAGGAAGCGGAGACGCTTTCGGGCTCTATCGAGAGTGGAAAGTGAAGAATAGGCGGCCCTTACCCCCATATATGACAGCAGTGCCACATAAATTAAGCTTACTTCTCTGAGGACTATCATGTAGTTGGCTGTACATAAGAATTTCAGATGTCCGTTCATCATTCATGTAATTTAAGCAATTCAAGCTTTTTTTATCATTTCAAGCCATTAATTGATTTTTTCCTATCCCACAATGTTTTTTTAATATAACAAAGGGCAATTAAACCATACGTTGCTTTAAGAACTCCAGTAGCTGAAACAGTCACCGCACGCTCAGCTAGAGGGGTCTAGCGGCAAAAATAAGAATGCGGGTCCGATTTCTGCCGAAACACGATTTATTTAATATGAATTTTGACTCAATGTAATTGTTCCATCTCAGGTCAGCAGTCAACGTGAAACCGAGCAGCCGCAGAGAGGTGCTCTCGAGAAGTTGAGCGTCAGACATTCTAATGGAGGGCAGGGAAGGATCTCTGTGATGATTAATAGAGAGCAGTTTTGTTTTGGGGGCATTAAAGTTGACCAGCCAATAATTCCTGCCCCAGTACACAACCGATTGGAGATCCTTTTCGAGACGCACGGCCAGGTTAGTTTTGTCAGCGACACTAGATTTGTTTTTGAGGCAGGAGTAAATTGTGGTGTCATCCGCGTGGATGCCTAATCGGGAATGTGTTTTAGCAACGCGCCTTTCTATACGATTCAGCGTGGGTATTGCGAATTTTAAGTATTCTTATATTAAAAATGAAAATAAAGGAAAAGGGAATGCATTTTTGTCATTTGTAAAAGAGCAAAAAAAAAGATGTGGTGCTGTAGCAAAGAATAAGTGGTCCACAATTTTAAGTAACAATTTTGATATCGAAGACAAGGAACGTTCCGACAGACCTGCAGTTCTTTATAATGGCCAAATCGAAACGCTGACAAAAATGGCCGATGTTTATCAGCACGGAACATCGCAGTGATACTCTATATATCTCATACGAGCATTATAAGTCATTCTGAAACACTCGTATACTGGAATCGCTACGATGCTTGGGTGCTTCACGAGTTTATGGAGAAAATTTAACTCAGCACTTTTCGTTTTGTGATTCTCTGCTCAAACGCAACGAAAACAACACATTTTTTATGACCACAAGTGGTGAAAAATACATTATTTACAGTAACGTGAAGCGGAAGATGTCCAAGGGAAAACGAAACGAGCTATGTTAACCAATCCAAAAGCTGGTTTTCATCCTATGCTGTATATCTTGGTGGGAAAGAAAGGACATTGTATATTAAGAGCTACTCCCACAAAATAAGACACATTGGAATCAGACAAGTACTCTTCCCAATCGGATCGATTAAAGATCACAATCGATGAAGAACGTTGGGCAATGGTCCATTGGAAGGGTGACGTCATACTTTACAACAACGCCAGGCCTCACGTCTCTTTGCAGAACTGGGAGAAATTTTTGCAACTTAACCGGGACGTTCTGTTATTATTTACATATATATATATATATATATATATATATATATATGAGAGAGAGAGAGAGAGAGAGAGAGAGGGTATTATTTATTAAAAAACAAAAAAAAAGTCGGGTGTGATCCGTATATCAAATTGGAACAGTAATATATTTATAATCAACTATAGATTAGATCACCTGGGTTAAAATTAAATGTCTGTGTGTATTAGGCGGAGACATATATATATATATATATATATATGTATATATATATATATATATATATATATATATATAGTGGCAAATCTGTGTATATCAAAACAGAATCTTGTATGTAAACTATGTCAGTTATCCGTGTGGCGCCCGCACATCTATTTTCCCCACCCTTTAGAAACAGAAGAAAAAAAAATAACTCCACCCGAAGTTTTATGGCTTCTCATCACCCGACCGGTACCTACGTAGGATGTATGAAAGCGAGCGTAATTTCACGCGCGCTCACGTGATCTGTCACGTGAGGGTACACACCCAGAAGGGTCAATGAATAAGTGGAGATGAGTGTCGAAATGCATTCTTCTGCATCGGCGCTATCTTTATCCAAGCCTGGCTCTTAACCTAAGTGTACCCCGCCCGTTCTTTATTTTTATATACGATAGACTAACAGTTCAACAGACTGATTGGCCCGTCGGTGAGTCGATCAGTCTTCTTACTTAAGTTGTTATTGTTGTTGTTGTTGTTCAGGTGCCGCTTTCTAGATTTTCACTTGATTTCAGCGCTTGGCTGCTCATCGTCTTACTTTCGTTTCGTTTCATTTTTTTTGTTTTTTCTGACAATCTCTTTCGTTTCGTTAGTCTCTCTCTCTCTCTCTCTCTCTCTCTCTCTCTCTCTCTTTTCATTTATCTCTCTTTCTCGTTCTCCTTTTCTTTCTTTCTCGCTCTCCCTTTCTCTCTCTTCCTTTCTTTCTCTATCTTTCTTTTTTCTCCCTCTTTCTTTCTCTCTCTCACTCTCTCGCTCTCTTTTTCTTTCTTTCTTTCTTTCTTTCTTTCTTTCTCTTTTTTCTCGCTCTCCCTTTCTTTCTTTCTCTTCCTTTCTCTCTCTCTCTTTCATTCTTTCTCTTTCTTTTTTCTTTCTTTATTTCACTTTTTCTTCCTTTGATCCCACCCTCTTCTTTCTTTTCTCTTTCTTTTACTTTCACACTTTTCTCGTGATATTTCTTTTTTTCTTGATTTCTCTTCCTTTTTTTATTTATTTTTACACTAAATTTCACACACTAGAATGCTCGAGAGCTGCTCAAGGCAGAGGTTCACAGTCAATGGTGAAAGGAGTGTGAGATAGGAATGTATAAGAAGATGGTAGGAAGCGGAGATTATGAGTATGGGAATAGATAACGATTGATCCTTGACTTGAAGAGGTTAAAATTAAAGTGTTCAGAGAAGCACTCATGCGGGCATATATTCCAGAAAGTTGTACTTGGGGGAAAAACACAGTCTGAGTTAAACTTCCTTATTACATTTTGGAAAAACTTAGGAAATAAGAGTGATTCGACTTTGTGGAAGTAGCATGACGTGACCTAGCAGTAAAGGTCCGAACTGATGACACTGCAGTTTGACTGATTCATTTTTTTTTAATTCTTTCTACACCTTTTTTTATATTTGTTTTCTGTCTTCCTTGATTGGATATTATTTATTCTATCTATCTATCTATCTATCTATCTATCTATCTATCTATCTATCTATCTATCTATCACTTTCACACTTTTTTTTTTTCAAATATCGATCGAGGTTTCTCTACTCCATATTGTAATTCTGTGAGTTTTTACATTAATGTTATGCAACATACCAATCATCTGCACTGTGTATATTAGGGTTATGACATTGTCATAAATCGAGGAACTTTTCTTCGAGAGTAATGAAAAAGGCATTAATTTATTTTAGTTCTTGAAAAAATCACCCTCAAATCGAAAATTCAATTTTACCATCTACGCAATAAGTGTAAAAAAAAATCAAAATATCTCAGAAGCATTATTTTATTTATTTTTTTTTTTTTTTTTTGTTAGTAATGTAATCAGATAGTACTTGTTTATTTTTTAACGCCTTTAACAGTTTATAGCTATATCATAACATACAACCTTACAAATAAACATAATTTGCATACTTGCAGAAGCTTAATTTTTCAATTTGCTAATGATGCAATTGGATAGTACTTATGTATTTTTAACAATTTCTAGCTGTAACAACATACAAACTTACAAATAAACAAAAAACAAATTCTATAAGGTTTCATGAAGTTCTTGACGGCTCCAGAAAGTTCTAGAAGGCTCTAGAAAGTTCTAGAAGGCTCTAGAAAGTTCTAGAAGGCTCTAGAAAGTTATAGTACTACTATCCTTATGTACGATTTTCGAAGTTTCATGTTGGAGGTAACATTTTTTTTTTTAATAAACTGAACAACAGAAGGTGGTAGGAATCGGAGATTATGAGTATGAAGATAGATAACGATTAACCCTTGACTTGAAGAGGTTAAATTAAAGTGTTCTAGAACGTCCCGAGGCCTTCTTCATTATTTTTTACCAAAAGTTCAAAGAATTATGATACAGGAAATCAGTTATTTTACAAAACGTCATAACCCTAGTGGATATAACATTGAACAACAAAGCTTTTGTTACTGAGGTAAAATCGTGTGATTTCGACTAAATCAAGTATACTTAGGTACCTAATACAAGGGCAGGCTCTTAATAATAGGGGGCTCATTTTTTTTCTCACAATGCAATACACAGAATGGCTTAATAAAAGTGGTGTCGAAAATTATTTGAAGGATTAAAAAGCGCGAAATTCATAAATGAGATTGTCTTGATGAGCTCGGGGTTCAGAAAATTCCCTAAAATATAAGCACTTCCGTAAATAAGGCATCTAACCGAGACATATCTAAAACGAAATCAAGGTATAATGATCATGGTGGATGACTACTGCTGGTTTGTACAAACGGGAGTCCCAGCTCAACACAAAAAACTGAAGCAGGATTCTAATGCCATCCACGTACGTACTCGAAATTATTCGATTAGGTAAGAATGTTGCATTATGTGCAAACAGACGATGAACGAGACCAACAAAAAAACATTTTATCTGCAACTCAGATGTTGTACATAACTAAATCGAGTACGTGTAGTGGAAAATAATTTGTCACCCACAATGAAGCGGAGACGCGTTTGGACTCTCTGTCGAGACTGGAAATTGGGGACTGGGCAGTTCCTGTCAAAATATGACAGCAGTTTTCCATTTATAAGTAGAGGATAGTACGAGGAGTCAGGTACTTACTGGAGCGGTACAGGGAACTGACCATTTCCCAAGCATCTTTACCGATGGATCGTATGTACGAGTTCCACTCTAGATCTGAGTTGAGCTTGAGGCCCAATAGTCACTCAATGCACGGGACCTCCCTGAGGGAACATCAATTCATCGTGGCTGGTGGTTGTTCAGGGTTCGATCGGCAATGATGGAATGTAATTAATTTGGTTTTTGAGGCACTGAATGCAACCAACCAGACTGAAATGAAAGGGCTGTATCGGTGGAGAAATTAGCTGTCAATTTCTGGTCATCTCGTGTTTTGGAGATGCACACATATACCATTCGTCCTGTATATGGCGATAAACTACATTCGTATCCCGGGTAAGACGATAAACTACATCCAACTCTGATCAGGAAGTTTTGAGGAGCGTGGAGCCACTTCTTAATTGCTGGTGTTCCCAGGTCCACCCTTACCCAGGGTGGTCGCACCTGTTAGAGTTAAATTTATGGGCAAATAGTTAACCCTCAACCTGGGGTCAAAATGTGTAGAAAAAAGAGGAAAAAGAAAAAAAGAAAAAAGTTTAATACCAGCAATACATTTTTGTAAAAAAATTATTACCAGCAATAAATTTTCGAAGAAAAAAGTTATTACCAGCAATACATTATTGTCGGCAATACTTTTTTTGGAAAAAATATTGCCAGCAATACATTTTTGAGAAAAGAAATATTACCAGTAATACATTTTTAGGAAAAATATTACCAGAAATACTTTTTGGAAAAAAATATTACCAGCAATAAACATATTGTCGGCATTAAATAACCCATTGAGATTGATATGCCGTAAAACAAAACAAAGCAATCCAAACAAATCCAAACCAAACATATACCATTGTATTATCAACGTAGATATTCACAAATGATTGGATAATTTTAGGCTTATGTTTTTTTTTTTTTTAAGCATTTCACCCCAAGCAAGGCAGGATGCCACTAGTACGCAAGGGGTTACAGGGTGGGAGCGAGAGTAAAGAGGCGTGATGGAGGAAAGGATGAAGGGAATAGTTCAGGGCATCTGGAGATGTCGATTGACATTACATTTGAATAGTTTGAGATTATAGCTATCAGGGAAACAAGTAATAGGAAGGGAATTTCATGGACGGGAGGTGCGAGACATGAAGCTATTGGAGTAGAAGAGATGGCTACTTTTAACCGTTTCGACAATGAAAGGGTGGGACTGAGATGCCAACCTAGTAGCACGCTTAAATTCATGCAGTCTGAGAGCTAACAAAAGGTGGAAAGGCCAGTTCATGACTGCAAAGATCAAAGCTAACAGTCTAATCTGCTCAAAGCGATGTTGTGCAAGTTGAAACATCAAAATCCTGGAATAATTTGGTTCTTTGATAAGAAAAGAAAATGATCAGAACAAAAAGATCAACCCAAGGAATGACAACTGGTTATGCAGAACTTTAAGGACGTTCCAACGGCCATAAACATAAAATCTCCGGCACCTGTGACAGTTCCGTGAGTCGAGAGCATCATGGAGAGGGATATGATACCTCCACTCTTCCTTCCCCAGAGCTTAAGGGTCAATACTGATGACGATAAGGGGTGTTGGAGAGAATTTTGAAACCTTGGATAGAGTGCGTGAGCAAAGGAAGACCGTAAACCTACCAACAACTCTGCGCCTTCTCATCAGGCCAAGACCACCCAATAGTAGATGAGTTACAATCTCCTCGATCACGTCATCCCAGATATAAAGCCTACTAGCTCTCCAGACCTGAATCCGCTAGACTACTACGTATGGGGCGTAGTCAAAGCCCCTATAACTCTATAAATTCTCTGAAGTCTGCGATAACTAGCACAATGTCCAAAATACATAAAAGTCATCTGATTCGGGCAAGTTAACGTTTCAAAGCTCATATTAAAGTAGTCATCAATGCTAACACCAGATTAATTAAATAAATGCGTCAATTTATGTCATTTTTTCTCAAATAAATCTCTTCTTTCACACGTTATGCTTCTTTTGCTAAATTCATGCAAATGTCCTCAAAGAAGTAAACAACCCTATACTATTGACTAATATATTTTCCTTGAATTGAAACAGCCCTTACCCATTACTCATATACTATTATTAAAATATATACCTTAAACATAAATTGGGCGTATGTCTAGCAAATCCATTCCGTCAAAACCCGCTTGCTGTGGAAATCACAGTAGCAACACGTAACGTTATTTAAATAAATATAGGAACATAGTAGCAATTGGATATGTGAAGAATTTAGAGATATGCTTTATTTGGGTGATGCCTACTGATAAAGTCGCTGTAGCCCAATCGACAAAAGCTCTGATTCGGAAACAGCCTAACAAGGATATAGCCTCCGGTTCTGCACCGGAGACTTATTCCTCATTTCCTATCAACGCCGCTTTCTTTTTCTTTTCTTTTTTTCTAAATAATGACCGTAAAATAATAGTTCTAGATATGGTGTAAAATGTAACATAACAGAGTAAGATGAAGGACTCCACCAAAATTAATAATGATTGACAATGCCACAACAATAATTGTTATATATGAATACATCATGCATTTCCACTGTTAAAAAATGATATTCATTTCAAGTAAATTCTTCCGAGAGGTAATAAGCTTTTTTCAATGAGCAGTACTTTTTACTTTTTCGAACATGAATGATTGAAAATAAGCAGGTAGCCTCATTTTTATTCTTTTTTTTTTCATAGTCGAATCCATCCAACTCCCTTTGTGTCCCATTTATGATTTTCGTCATTCCAACATGATTTTATGTAGGTTATATGGTTACACAACTGTTATATCATCGCACTGATTAACGTGCCATTTACCTGATAATAGTTTAAGTAAAGTGTATATTACCAGCCAATGCAACGACAAAGCAGAAATTCTTATCAATATCACATGCGACATAACAGTAAAAACGATTACAAATACTATTAGCATTAAGCATAAAATATAAACCACCTGATATCAATAAAACGTCATGAAATTTAGGAACAGACATGCTAAATATATTTCATAAATAAAAAACAACGAAGAAACAATATGTGAAAAGCGATGAAACTATCATAGCACAGAAACAAAACCTCTTTGATAATAGTTGTTAAAAGCAAAAAGTACTCAACCATTAGACAATTTATATTTAAAATTTTATCGAAATCCAAAAAAATAGTTCGTAATATAAAAGTAAAAAAAAAAGAAATTCATTAACAATCTACTTGTATAAATTCAGCCTAAATACACCTATACATAGTAAATAACGATTTTCCGAATTATCTCATAGATCACCAAATTATACTTTTTCTTTCTATGGTAATCAATAGCAACACTGAACATACAGATGAAAACAATAGCATTAACATTTTCTATAAAAATCAAATGCATGATAACTATAAGCAGGATGTCTCTTAGAAATTATTTAAAAGAGAGAGAGAGAGTTTATAAAATAAATATATAACTCCAATCGACAAAAACAAGAAAATTAAAGTTATTATCTACTA